AGCCCCCCCCCCCACAGCAGCAGCGAGGGGTGCAAGGCTCAGTGATGGGGGACAAGGGAGCCTCCCGCCCCCCCCGCCCGGTGCCTCCAGGGCAGAACCCAGATCTCGCTGTACCCCATGGTCCTTCCCAAGCTCAAGGCAGGCTCCCCGGGGGCTAGAGTGGGCCCATGGGGATGGGGCGCTAGGGCTTCTGGGTCCTATTTCCAGAGTAACCCCCCTGTGCTGGGGATCTTACAGCCTTTGGCAGTGACTGGTCCCGTGCACTGACCCACAGTGGCTGTCCCTGGGGGCTTACCCCAGCCTTTTCCTGGCCTCCCATGGTCCTTCCCAAGCTCAAGGCAGGCTCCCCGGGGGCTAGAGTGGGCCCATGGGGATGGGGCGCTAGGGCTTCTGGGTCCTATTTCCAGAGTAACCCCCCTGTGCTGGGGATCTTACAGCCTTTGGCAGTGACTGGTCCCGTGCACTGACCCACAGTGGCTGTCCCTGGGGGCTTACCCCAGCCTTTTCCTGGCCTCTAACCACGGGGGCCCTGGGCTTCCCTCCTCTGCCCCCCGGCATGGTGGCAGGGCCCTGGGCCAGGGGGAGCTAAGCACCCGACATGGCTCTGCTAGACCCATTCCAGGCCACCTACATGAGCAACACGGGGAGCAGGAGACACACGGGGCCAGATACTGACACACTGAGCCTGGGGATTAGCAGAGGCAGCCGGGCACCCGCCTCCCTGCCCCATATGGAGTCCAGCGGGTTTAGCGAGCCCAGGGCGGCCGGGACTGATGCTCCCATTGACAGCCAGTGGCCAGGTTTGCTCTGTGCCGAGCTGGGGCCGTGGGGGGGTCAAGCCTGCCCCTTGACTCCTGGTGGCTGGGAACCATTTCAGACTTTGCCAGCCCTGCTGTTCCTCAGTTTCCCCATCACTGGAACAGGCCGCTTACCCCTCCCCATGGGAGCTGGGAGCCAGTCAGCCTCTGACGCGCTGATCCCAGCTAATCCCCATCACGGCCCAGCCATGCCCGTCCTACTTCAGGCAGGTTGTCACGGAGACCGGCCCTGTGGGGGGTAAGGGGGAGCTGTGGCTCGGGGGGGCTCTTGGGTTCCTCCCAGGAGGGTGGCTGTAGGTGGGGGGGAGGACTGAGCCTCCCCATGGGAGCTGGGAGCCAGTCAGCCTCTGACGCGCTGATCCCAGCTAATCCCCATCACGGCCCAGCCATGCCCGTCCTACTTCAGGCAGGTTGTCACGGAGACCGGCCCTGTGGGGGGTAAGGGGGAGCTGTGGCTCGGGGGGGCTCTTGGGTTCCTCCCAGGAGGGTGGCTGTAGGTGGGGGGGAGGACTGAGCCAT